TGCGGGGACGAGCGTGGCACCGCAGTCTTTAGCCCCAGCGACAGCTATGTCGAATCTCGGAGCAGCCGGCGCAGCGTGTCTCTCCTCCCGTTACCTCAGGCAGGCCCAGCAATCCAAAGCTTCCGACCGCGGGAGGGAACCAACTTCACAAGATGTCGCTGGAGGCCAACGCCGGAAGGCCCGCCCAGATGCCGTCCTTGGGACGGAAGTGCCTCTCCTGAGCCCTCATTCGCCCAGTAAAGGGGACGCGCGGCGCACTGCCTTCCGGGTAATGTAGTTCTGAGGGAGCCAGAAGGTCCACGACGGTCTCCATTCCTGACCTCAGGAACTGCCCAGCCACACCAAGAAAGGCGCTGGGTAGGGATGGCTGCAGGCCTTGAGGAAGGGGCGGGGCTCCAGCTTCTTGGGTCACACCCAGATTTCCATGGAATGTAGTCTGTGCTGATCACAGAAATGTACTGAGACATACGTATGATTTCTGATGTTCCCCCAAACTACAAATGGTTACTCAGACACAAAGTGCATCCACGCACAGCTGGGACCTAAAATACTGTCTTACTGCTTTTCAGGTACATGTTAGACTGAAACTTCAGAATCAACTGGAGTTTTTCTATTAGAAACAAGGTAGAGGGGCTCAGTCCGTTAAGCATCTGACTCTGGCTCAGGTCATGACCTCAGGGTCCTGGGATCAGCTTGCCTCCAGCTCACAGGGGAGTCTGCTTGACCCTCTCCCCCTCCTCCCACTTGTGCTCACTCTCAAATAAATCTTAAAAAACAAAACAAAAAGCTGATAATTATATCCAGCCCTTACTCCACGTATTACATTCTTTCTTAGATCCTAAGACCGATCTTAAAAGAGTGAGTGACTTAACCACATGGGGAAAGGGGGCTTATGAACACTGAGACGAAAAGGATGAGGAGAAACTGGACACCTCACACACAGTTAGCAGTAATGTAAAATGGTGCCAGCATTATGGAAAACAGTTCCTCAAAAAAAAAAAGACCATATTACCATATGATCCAGGAGTTCTACTTTTGGGGGATATATGCAAAAATAATTGGAAAGCAAGGTGCTGAAGAAATCTTTGAAAGTAAGGTGTTAAAGAAATATCTGTACAAGCGTGCCCATAGTAGCATTATTCATAATACCCAAAAGAGGTAGAAGCAACTCCTGGTCCATGGACAGATGAATGCATAGAGAGAATGAATGGATAAAGAAAATGTGCCATATACATACAATGAGATACTATTCAACCTTAAAGAGAAGGAAATTCAGACAGATTAACACACAAGATACAGCATGGATGAACCTTGACGAGGATACTATGCTATATGAAACAGAACAGTGGGTTTCAAGGGATTGAGGGAAGGGGAAAATGGCGAGTTGGGTAATGGATTTAAGTTTAACAAGATGAAAAGAGTTATAGATATCCATTGTAGGTGAATGTACTTAACATTCCTGAACCGTACCCTTAAAAACAAGATGACAAATTTCATGTGATGTGTATTTTACCACAACTTTTAAAACAAAACTATGTAAAACAAAACCATGTACGAGTTTTTTTTCCAATGCTAATTTAGAACACACTTTTGGCTGACATTTTTCCCCATCTGCTCTACTCACGAGTTCAAGTTCTTTCCCAGATGCTGAATGAGTTGGGAGTCTTGGCTAAAAGAATTTCCCACATTCCCTGCACGCACGCCCTGCTTAATGAGATTGGTTTGTACCTAAATACTTCCCCACTTTAGCTGCACTTGTAAAGTTTCCTCCAGCGTGCATTTTCTGGTGACCGACAAAGCAAGACTTTCTAACAAAGGCCTTGCTATATGCTGAACTCATAAAACCTCGGCCTGGTGTATTCTTTGGTGTTAAGTCAAGATTTTTGTGTAATTCCCCGCATTTTCTGATGCTGAAGGAGGTGGGACTTTCTGATGAAGGCCTTCCCATATTCACGGCACAAACAAGGCCCTTCTCCAATGTGACTGCTCTGCTGTTTAAGGAGACTGGAGTTTTGTGTGAAAGACTTCCTGCATTCACTGCACTCTTTCTACGCTATGAACTTCCTGGTGGCTAGTAAGTGTGGAGTTGTACCTAAAGATTTTCCCACATTGGCTGCATTTAAAAACCCTTTCTTGGGGCGCCTGGGTGGCGCAGATGGTTAAGCGTCTGCCTTTGGCTCAGATCATGATTCCAGGGTCCTGGGATCAAGCCCCAAGTCGGGCTCCTGGCTTAGCGGGGAGCCTGCTTCTCCCTCTCCCTCTGCCTCCCCTGCTGCTCATGCTCGCTCTCTCTCTGTATCTCTGTGTCTCAAATGAATAAATAAAATCTTTCAAAAAAAAATAAAAGAATATATCCATAAAGGGTAAGATCAATGAGAAAGGAAGAACAAATCTTGACAATATTCCTAAGAGTACCCAAAACAATGTGGAGAAAAGTACACACACCTCACACCTAGATTTCATAACAAACTGGAGCCACAAAACCCGAACCCAACACTACTAAAAGATTCAAAGCAACCAAAGCCAAAACCTTTACGTTATATGTGTTATTAAAGGATGCCAAGGGGCACCTGGGTGGCTCAGGTCATGATCTCAGGGTTGTGAGATCAAGCCCCACGTGAGGCTGCTTGGGATTCTTCCTCTCCTTCCTCCCCTTCCCCTGCTTCATGCTCTCTTACTAAAATAAATCATCTTTTAAAAAAAAGGATGCCACGATTGGAGGAAATATTCAAATAGGAAAAGCCATTAAGGTCCTGGAAAGTAAGAGGGAACAAAGCAGAAACAATGTGTGTTTCACCATAAAAATAAATGCATGCTTGGTGTGACTGCAAAAGAGGTGATATAACATTATAAAGCTGTTCCGGTAAGAAAAGTATTGGCACAGAAATTAGGTTGAAAAAACTAGAT